CTGCCGGAAGGCTGACATGATGACGTGGGGATGGAACTTCGTATTGCGCGCACGCTACTGCGTGCTGCTGCTTGCTGCCGCTGCTGCGTGCTGCTCGCAATGCATACTTACCGCTGCTGCTTGCTGTTGCTGCTTCTAGCTGCAGGGCGCTGCTGGTGTTGGGTCGGACGTGCCGTCTTGTCATATTTGATGCTAGATTGGAGGCCCTCCGGGGACCCTCTAGGGCTCCTGATTGGGCGGCCGAGAAAATTGCGAAGGGTTCTGGGATCATCGAGTAAGCTCGCAGGGCGCTCCCAGGGAAGCCAACGAGGGCTCCAAGAGGGCATGAAATGTCACAAGAATTTGACTACGTAAAACCGCTGTTGGGTCGGACGTGCCGTTTTTTTTACTTCTTCGCTCAATTGGAAGCCTTCGGGAGCCCCTCCGGGGCTCCTGATTGGGCGGCCCAGGGGTTCGTAGAAAGGTTCTGGGATCGTCAGGAGGCTCGCAGGGTGCTCCAGGGGGAGCCCAGGAGAGCTCCAAGAGGCATCAGTTTGAACAAGAATTCAACAAGAAACCCGCCATGTTGGGAGGATTAATTCGTTAGATTGCTGTTAGAGGCGAAGCTCTCTGGGGCGTGTCAGGAGCGCCGGGCCCTCTTTTTGGGAGGCAGTTTTGAAGCCTCATTGGGGCCTCTTGGGGGCTACTTGAAGGCCTCTTAGGTCCTCTCTAGACAACTTCGAAACCTTTTGGGACCCTCTTGAGCCGCCTGGGTTCCTCTTGGGCCGTCTTGGGGCCGTCTTGGGCGCCTCTCGGGCCGTTTTGGGACCGTCCTGGGCCGCTTTGGGTCTCTCTTCGGGCCCTGTTGGCGGCCTATAGGGCCGTCTGGGGGCCGTCTTGGGGTCCTCTTGGGACCTCTGAGGCCGTCTGGGGGCGATCCTGAGGGCCTCAAGGCCGTCTCGGAGGCTATGGAAAACAGGGAGTCGAGAATGCTGAAACTGGCAGCTTCACAGGAAAAGGTTTGCAACGACTCTTGTTCCTTAGGACCTTCGGGGGGTCCTCCTGGAGCCCCATTCGACTGTCTTGAAAAACTTTTGGACCCGACGCCGGCGTCTTGAGGCGGCAAGGGAAGCGTCCAAAACCATGCTAAAGCGCTGTGGGGGCTTCCTTTGGCCGCGATGGGGTGCGTCGGGATTCCTTGAAGCGACCCAGAACCGCCCTGGACCCTGAAATCCTGGCGACTCAATTTTGCTCGAGCCTGACGGTTTCGCCTTTTTCCTTTTTCGGGCCCTGGGACCCTCACAGATCGATCGGGTTCGAAAAATCATGCACAAAGATGGGGTCTAAGGATCCGGGCGTGATTTTTTACGATCTTATATTTTTTCGCTGCGTCGGATCTCAAGGGAGGTCCGACGGTGCCTGCCGGGGCGCCGAGGGGGCCACTGGGATAGCGTACAGTCGGACCTGGGCCAGAAGAATTTCCCTGAAGAACATGAGAGCCTCCCCTGGCCAAAACAAACAGAACATTCAAGGGTACCCTCCCCAGGATGCAACAGGAAGTCCAACAATCACGAAGAACATGAGGGTACCCTCCCCGACCGACATCGATATTTTTCCTCAGTCCGACTGTACTTCGCGCGCGCGTACACCTGCAATGTAGAAGAGATGACGTTGGGCTCAAGCTTCGACTCCCACATCGCCCTGAGCACCGACAATGCGTGTTGCCATTGCCCGCTTTTCGTGCATGCGCCGACAATCGCCATGTAGTGGCTCGGGGAAAGTTGCACACTGAATTGACTCCCTTCGCGGAGTAACTGCAATGCTGCGCACCACTGTTTTGTCCGACAAGAGTTCTGGAGTAAAACGTCGAAAGAAACAATGCTGTCTGGACACCCTCGACCGACATCTATCATTAAAAAATGGCGTCACGACGGCTTGAGCCAAAACGGCTGCGGAAAGGGTTGGGAAGGCGCCGACGTGGCGCTGGGAACCCAGAGCGTTGATAAAACGCTCAGCTTACTCTCAAGTCTGAAACAAAACAAACAAAAATGAGTGGAAGAGAGCTACTTTTGGGCGGTCCACGACCACACGCACCAAGCACTTTCCCCGTAGACCCTGTCCAAGCCTAGTCCTTTCGCGACGCAGTCCTCAGCGCTCAGCTGCCCTGCTCTGGCTCCTGATACTGCTACTGTTAAACTTCGCCAGCGCAGCAAGCGATTACGTATGTCAGCCGACCTATGCCTCCGCGCAAGGGGAGTAGATGAATTGGGCGCCATTAGATTCCCCCCTCCCCTCGGCCGAACGAAGTTCTCGGTGCAGTGGATGCTTGGGTCAAAATGGCCACGGGAGGACGAATGGGGCAACCAGCCCGCTTGCTCTGTTGGCGGCGCGTAGAGGGGGGTAGGGGGAGGGGGGAAAGCTTCTGAGAAGGAACCTACTTCTTAGAAGGCGCGGGCTTTGTTTGCATCTACGGACAAGGCCCGCGCCTTCTAATAAGCAGAGGTGCCTTTAAGAAACCATCCCCACTCCCCCTAGCCCCCTCTGCGCGTGGCCAATTCTGGCCACTTGCGGGCGGGAGGGATCCGGGTCGCGGACGGTCTGGCTCCGCTTCCGAGGCCTCGTGGATGCCGGGACCTCTCGGCTGCGACCGCGTGGATGACCCGCGCGGAACGCATCCGTGGGATCACGCACGCACCACAAACATCTTCCTCTTCCTCCTCCTCCTCCTCCTCCTCCTCCTCCTCCTCCTCCTCCTCCTCATCATCATCATCATCATCCTCATCCTCATCCTCCGCCTCCTCCTCCTCCTCCTCCTCCTCCTCCTCCTCCTCCTCCTCCTCCTCCTCCTCCTCCCTCCTCCTCCTCCTCCTCCTCCCTCCTCCTCCTCCTCCTCCCCCTTCCTCCTCCTCCTCCTCCTCCTCCTCTCCTCCTCCTCCTCCTTTCCTCCTCCTCCTCCTCCTCCTCCTCCTCTTCCTCCCCCTCCTCCTCCTCAACATCATCCTCCTCCCTCCGTCTCATTATGTAAATTATTCATTGTATGAATATTCGTTTTCTGAATATACGTATTACAGCTATGAGTATTACTAGTATGATGACTAATAATGGTAATAATCGTATTAGTAGTATTGTTAATCATGTTAGTAGTATTAGTGTTACTACGATTAGTCGTATTAGCAATGAAATTATTATTGTTAGCATTCGCGTTCGTATCAGCATCATCAGAATTAATCATGTCACGGTTATGCGGAAAACTATTAATGTTACGATTATTGGTATGACTATAATGATTGTTAATGCTAACAGTAACATCCGTATTAGAAGTAGTAGTAGTAGCAGCAGTAATATAGCTGCGTAGTAGAACTAGTGCGATTACAAATACGACTCGTATAACTGAGATTAATAATAACATTATGATTGTTGATAATACTACTACTCGTATTTGTAATATCATAAAAAAGATTTCAAATATTATGTTTACTTGTATAATTGTCTTAGTACTCGTACTAGCGTTATGAATACTAGTATCCGTAGCATTACGATTATTACGATTAGTATTCTGCGTATTATTATATTGCACAGGGTGTCTAGAGCTCCGACCACTCTATTTCGGCACGTCACCCTCTCCATCACCCACGCATTCCACCAGCCAGCGCGCCCCTCCGCCCCGACCTGTTTATTTCGGCACGGCACACCCCTCCGCCCCGACCCCTGTATTTCTGCACGGCACAGCCCCTCCGCATCCCACTCACTCACAAGCCAGCGCGACCCCCCGCCCCGAGACCTATATCGGCACGACGCACTCCCTCCGCATCTCCCCATCCACCAGCCAGCGCGCCCATCCGCCCCGACACCTTTATTCCGGCACGCTACGCCCCTCCGCCCCGACCCCTTTTATTTCGGCACGGCACGCCCCTCCGCACCCCCCCCCACACCCGTCAGCCAGCGCCCCGACCTCTTTATTTCGGCACGGCACACCCCTCCGCCCCGATCCATTTATTTCGGCACGGCACACCGCCTCCGCGTCCCCTCACCCACCAGCCAGCGCGCCCCTCCGCCCCGACCCATTGATTTCCGCGCGCCCCCCCCGCCCCCGCGCGCCCCCTCCGCCCCGACCCCTCGTATTTCGGCACGGCGCACCCCTCCGCCCCGCCCTTTTTGTTTCGGCACGGCACACTCCAGCCGCATCCCCCCAACCCACCAGCAAGCGCGCCCCCTGCCCCGCCACCTTGATTCCGGCGCGGCAGACCTCTGTGCACCGACTTCTTTATTTCGGCACGGCCCACCCCCTCCGCACCCCCGCCGCCAGCCTGCCAGCGCGCCCCTCCGCCCCGACCCCTGTAGTTCGGCACGGCACACCCCGCCGCCCCGACCTTTTTATTTCGGCGCGGCACACCCCCTCCGCCCCCCCCCATCCGCCAGCCAGCGCGCACCCCCGCCCCGGCCCCATTATTTCTGCACGGCACACCCCTCCGCCCCGACACCTGCATCCCGGCACGGCGAACGCCCTGTGTAGCGATCGCCTTTCTCGTTGGCAGATTCCGCTCTGTCCCAGTCCAGTCGTAGATCCCGACGATCCAGTGTCATCCATTCGCCGATGGTCCGCTTGCCCCATCGCTCTAGATCGGTCTGTCGTCGCTGTCGGTCTCCACTGGTCCTCCGAGGTCCTAAACCACCGTCGAGGTCCTTGTCCTTCTTGATGTTGCGGTGCTTGCTGCTGTCGATCGGGGCGTCGGCTGCTGGCGTCGACGCTGCCGCTGCCGCCCCAGGCATCGCCCCCGAGGACCTGCACCCGTTTGGCGTTGACCCGCTGAAACCTGGATCTTGAGCCATCACGTTGCGGATCGCAATCAGCATGACCGCCACCATTATTCATGATTATCTGGGGTACTTCGCATTTCTCGTGTAGGACATCTGCTGCTTTCATCTCTTGGGGCTTTGGAGTCTTCTCGAATCCATTCGAAACACTCGCAGGCCTCTGAGATCCCCTGAGCGACGTCTCACACGTGTCTGGAGTCACATACCTAGATCGTGTCGGTGTAGTCCGGATCGCCGAAAATATCCGAAATCGGGTCGAAGTACTCGCAGTCCTTGATCGAGCTGTCGTTCGCGCCGGACTCGCACATGCACTCGAAACCCGTTCCCGCTCGGAAGTCGTCGGTCTTATTTCCAAACCCGTGCCAACAAAATCCTCAGTGGTTTCTGTGATGATATTCCCGTCCTCAGAAGTCTCAAACGGCACCCTATTGATCTCGGTCCCCTCCTCTGCTCTCACTGTTCTGGTAGGTCCTCCAATCCAGTGACGTGATGCTGGCTTTGTATTCCTGGAACCAGCACCGCAGAAGGAGGGGCGCTGCCCCTATTCAGGGCTCGCGTCTGGATCGGCCGCCGCGACCCTCGCAGTGCCGAGAGCCTGCTGTAAGTCCTCGAGCTTCTGCTTAAAGTCGCCCCTGTCGGTGTTGTTCACCTTCGCGTCGTAGAGATCCTTCGTCATGTCGATGCACAGGTGTCCGGTGGAGATCCGCTTGAGCTCCGCCACCTTGTTCTTCGTGATGTTGTTGAAACAGGCGATCCCCGTCTCGAAGTCGATGATCGCTCCAGCACGCTTCAGGAAATCCACTGATCCCAGCAGCGGTACGTAGCGGTCCCCCTTGGCGCTCAGCGCATAGCCCGACACGCACGCTCCCCAGATTGCCGTTCGCCTGCGGCGGGAGATTCGTCCGGCACGAACACTGCTCCGCGTCGCCGTTAGCGAACCCGAATTTCGGCCGATCTGTCACATCGACCTTCACGTTGCTCGCGTCGATTCCTGCCTGCTGCTGCTTCTCGATGATCTTCTCGAGCGCCACGATCGATCCGAACGTCTTTGTTGCTCCGCTGTCGAGCACCATGCACCCCTCCGTCTCGTCTGCAAGCCCAGCCAGCGCGTGCTCCACCTCGTACTCCGTGTAGGGCATCTCCAGGTTGGTCTCCTCGAGCTCGTCGTCGCTGACCTCGGCCTCCCAGTTCGCGAAGCTGAACGCCAACGCTCCAACCTGAGATGCTCGTCCGCGTGGCTGCTCCGTGCTTCGGTTCTCCGGGTTCTTCGGGCAGTCGACCTTCCTGTGCGGCCCACTGCAGATGAAGCACGGCCCACCTTGGCCCTTGCCACCTTTCTTGCCCTTGCCCTTGCGCTTCTGGAAGAACCCTCGGCTTTGCTTGATATCCGTCACCACGGCCCGCGCTTGTGCCAGCGTCCTCTTCAAGTTCTTGACGTCCTTCTTGGCTCCGGCGATGACCGCCAGTGCCTCCTCCGCCTCCGCGCGTTCATCCTCGCCCAGACCTTCGAGGTCGAGTTCGTCCTCGTCCCAATCGAACTCCGCGTAGGCCTCGTAGTCGTCGTCCGGGTCGTAGTCGTCCGGAGCCTCCTCTCGATCATCTTCATCTTCTCCAAAGACTCTTAATGCTCGTCCACGGCCAGGTTTGCGCGGGAAGATATCTCGCTTCTTGTTGTGCGCGTCGTGCTCTTTCAAGTCCACGTCAGTCCACTGGCCCCGCAGCGCCGCCTCGATGTTCTTCAGGTTCAGCGAGTTCTTGGCCGACGACAGAACTCCTGCGCGCTCTTGAGCGTTGAGTCCTGCTCTTTGAAGCAGCAGCCATCCCGCAATCACCGACGGGATCAGCGTCTCGCGCGCCTCCGTCGCCACCTCCTTCAGCGCCCTGATGTCCGCATCATCGCCCCCCAGGTCGAAACGCGCCATCAGTGAGCACAGCGCATCCGTAGCCTTCTCCTTCAGCGCCACCTTCTTGCGTGCCTTCAGCGACGTCGTCGCCTGTGGCCAGGTCCAGCCAGCCGACCCTGTCGGTGAACTCGACCACCAGCTGCTGCCGTACCACCAGCTACCCTTCCAGCAACCGTCGCTCTCGTCCTTCCAGCTGCTGGCGCCCTCTGCGCCCTCGTCGTCGCCTTCAGGGCCTTCACGTTCTCGAATCGACTCCAGCGTCACGGACTCTGTATTCTCCTCGGGCCGCGTCTTCTTCACTAGCTTGATCTCTGTCGTCGTGTCCTTCTCGTCGATCCGCCTGAAGCTCTGGTCCAGCTTGTCTGCGACGACCCTGCTTCTCTGAGCGCACGCCTTCATGCCCTCTTTGTTCCTCCGTCGCAGCGTGAACAGATACTCCTTCAGGTACTTCGCGGCCTCTGGCATCGGCTCGCCCATGAGCGTCTCGCCCAGGAACTCTAGCAATATCTTGTGGCCGCCCGCCTTCTCCAGCAGCTCCCGCCCTCGTCTGAGACCTCCTCGAGCGCCTTCCACGCTTCTCCCGTGAGAGCTGCCGCCAGTCGAGCCCCCGCCACTTGCTTGTCTCGACGTGAAAGACCAGCCACATACCACTTCACAAGTTTTCGATACTCTTGGAATCTGGTGACGTCTCCATCCCATGTCGGAACCTTCTTGCCGCCCTCGCGAGATTCTCCCATCTTGCCGGCTGTCCAGGTAGTGGAGCCAACCGGCTCCGCTACCAATGCAGGATCACCGATGGGTGTCTCTGAATAAGTGTCGATGCAATATCGCCCACTGTCTACAGGTCCGTGGATCTCAGCTCTCTTTTACCTCAGCACGCGCGAAGCCGAAGATGTTAATCTCTCCTCGCCGCCAGCGTTGGTCTGCACGCAGCCCGGGCGTCGCCCAGAAAGCCAGCCCAAGAATATGTCCCAGGGAATCTCATTGTTCGAATATTCTGATATTCGGTCTCGGCAACCTGGCTGGCTCTCTGGAACCAGCAAGTAAAATCTCTGACCGCCCAAAAGGCGGCCCAACGGGCCCCTGAGCCACAATGAGTACGGATAGCTGCAAGCGACACTCGTCTCACCTCAACGGAAACGAAACGGACACGGTTGAGTTCGCATCCCCCTCCCCCTCCCCCTTCCCATCCCCCCCCCCCCCCCCCCTCCCCTCCTCCTCCTCCTCCTCCTCCTCCTCCCCTCCTCCTCCTCCTCCTCCTCCTCCTCCTACTACTACTACTACTACTACTACTACTACGACTACGACTACGACTACGACTACGACTACGACTACGACTACTACTACTACTACTACTACTACTACTACTACTACTACTACTACTACTACTACTACTAAGGGTGACCGGCTCCTGGGCGCGAGCCGCTCCCCCGGCCCCTCCCTACAGCACTCCGTTGGGTTTCCGCACCGTCAATGTGTTTGTGCGTGCGCGGTGTGCGTTTTGCGGTGTGCGGTGTGTGTTGTTATGCGTTTCCTATACGCTTCTATAAGTTCCTATATGTTTCCTATATGTGTCCTACATGTTTCCTAAATGTGTACTATATGTTTTCTATACGACTTGTATATGTGTCCTGTACGATTTGTATATGTTTCCTGTACGTGTTGTATATGCGTCCTATATGCGTCCTATATGTTTCCTGTTTGATTCCTAGATGTGTCTGTTATGGTTCCTAAATGTTTCCCAACACGTGTTGTAAACGATTCCTATATGTTTCCTATATGTTCATATAAGTTTCCTATATGTTTCCGAAATGTTCCAATATGATTCCTATACGCGTTGTAAATGTTTCCTATACGTTTCCAGCATGTGTCCTATATGTTTCCTATATGTTTCCAATGTGTGTCCTATACGTGTTGTGTATGTGTCCTATATGTTTCCTATATGGCTTCTATATGTTTCCCGCGTGTCTCCTATATGTGTCCTATACGTTTTGCATGCGTGTCCTATGTGCTTGCTATGTGTGTCCTATATGTTTCCTGTACGTTGTGTATACGTTTCTGATACGTTTTGTATACGTGTCCTATACGTTTGTTTGTATACGTGTCCTATGTTCCCTTACGTGTTGCATACGTTTCCTATATGTGCCCGATACGTTTTGTAATCGTTTCCTATGTGTCCTATACGTTTTGTACACGTTGCCTGAATGTTTCCTAGATGTGTCCTATACGTTTCCTATACGTACGTTTTGTATACGTGTCCTATATGTTTCCTGTACGTTCTGTTTACGTGTCCTATAGGTCTCCAATATGATTCCTATATGGTTCCTGTATGTTCTCTATATGTTTCATATACGTTTCCTTCTTGTGTCCTACATGTTTCCTATACGTGTCATACATGTTTCCTAGTTATTTCCCATGTGTTTCCTATACGTTGCTTATGTGTTTCCTATGCGTGTCTTATGTGTTGTCCTATACGTGCCATATGTTTCTTACATGTTTCTGATATATTACCTATACGTTTCTTGTATGTTCCCTATACGTTTCTTGCGCGTTGCATATATGATTCCTACATGTTTCCTAAATGTGCCCTATAGGGGTCCTAAGTGCTTCCTATGTGTCTCCGAAATGTTTCCTATACGTGCCCTAAACGTTTCTGATGTGTCATAGGTTTCCTATATGTTGCCAACATGTTTCCTATATGTTCCCTATAGGTTTCCTATATATGTCCTATGTGTTTCATATACGTTTATTGTTTCCTATACGTTTCTTATATGTGCCCTATACGTGTCTTCTATGTTTCATATACGTTTCTTGCTTGTGTCCTATACGTTTCTTTCATGTTTCTTAGATGTGTCTTATGTGCTTCCTATACGTTTCCTCTATGATGCCTATGCGATTCTTTTGCGTGTCTTATATGTTTCCTATACGTTTCGCTATACGTGTCCTATGTGTGTCCTATACGTTTCTTATACGTTTGTTCTGCGGTTATTATATGTTTCTGGTATGTTTCCTACACGTTGCTTATATGCTTCATATGCGTGTTCTGTATGTTTCCTAGACGTGTCCTATATGTGTCCCATACGTGTCCTAAATGTGTTGCGTACGTTCCCTATATGTGTTGTATGCGTGTTCTATTTGTTTTGTATACGTGTCCTGTATGTTTCCTACACGTTTCCTATACGTTGTGGATACGTTCCCCTCTTGGAGGGGACGCGGGGAAACGAGGGGGAGAGGAAACCAGGAAACAACGAGCGCAGACGTGCACAGTGATCCGCCACCGCGCCCCTGGGCACGGAGCGGCTCCAAGACGCCTCAAGAGGCCCCCAGGAGCGCCCCGAAACAGCCCAAGAAGCTTCCAAGAGGGCCCCAAGACGGCCCAAGAGAGCCCCAAGACGGCCCAAGAGGCGACAAAGACGCCCCAAGAGAGCCCCAGGAGGCCCCAAGAAGCCGAAGACCCCCACGAGGCCCCCAGGAGGCCCCCAAGAAACCCCAAGAAGCCCCCAAGACGGCCCAGGAGGCCCCCGAGACACCCAAACGGCGCTCCAGGACGCCCAAGGCGCGCCCAAGACATCCCGAGAGGCCGCCAAGAGCGCCTCAAGAGGCCTCACAACAGGGCCCCGAGACGCCCAAATCGTAAATTTTACAATGGTTTTTGAACAGCTTTGGAATTCCCGCCTTTTCTGATTTCCGACGCTCGAAGACGGCCCAAGAGGCGTCCAAGAAGGCCCCAAGACGGCCCAAGAGAGCCCCAACACGACCCAAGAGGCGTCCAAGACGACCCAAGAGAGCCCCAGGACGACCCAAGAGGCGCCCAAGACGCCCCAAGAGAGCCCCAGGAGGCCCCAAGAGGCCCCCAGGAAGCCACCAAGAGGCCCCAAGAGGCCCCCAAGAGGCCGGCTGATGCCCCCAGCAGCCGCCGTCGCCGCGACCGCGGCGGCGGCCGCGGCGGCGGCTCGCACCCAGGGCCCGGTCTGCCCTACTACCACTACTACTACTACTACTACTACTACTACTACTACTACTACTACTACTACGACTACGACTACGACTACGACTACTACTACTACTACTACTACTACTACGACTACGACTACTACTACTACTACTACTACTACTACTACTACTACTACTACTACGACTACGACTACTACTACTACTACGACTACTACTACTACTGCCTGCTACTGCTACTGCTACTGCTACTGCTACTGCTACTGCTACTGCTACTGCTACTGTTACTGCTACTGCTACTGCTACTGCTACTGCTACTGCTACTGCTACTACTACTGCTAACTGCTACTGCTACTGCTACTGCTACTGCGACTGCTACTGCTACTGTTATTGCTACTGCTACTTCTACTGCTACTGCTACTTCTACTGCTACTGCTACTGCTACTGCTACTGCTACTGCTACTACTACTACTACTACTACTACTACTACGACGACGACGACGACGACTACTACTATTGATAATACTACTACTACTACTACTATTCCCTCCTCTCCATCCTCCTCTCCCCCCTCCTCCTCCTCCTCCTCCTCCTCCTCCTCCCCCTCCTCATCTTCCTCCTCCTCCTCCTCCCCCTCCTCATCCCCCCCTCATCCTCCCCTCTTCCTTCTGTTTCTCCTCCTCCTCCTCCTCCTCCCCCTCCTCCCCCAGCTCCGCCCCCCCTCCTCCTCCCCCCCCTCCTCCTCCTCCTCTCTTAACGCAGCCTTGCCCTAGTCTGCCCGTTCGGGTGCCCCAGGCGCACTCCTCTCTCTCTCTCTCTCTCTCTCTCCTCTCTCTCTTTCTCTCTCTCTCTCTCTCTCTCTCTCTCTCTCTCTCTCTCTCTCTCTCTAGTCTCGGCTCGAGAGTATCCACTCAGAGCGAGCCCCAGGAGGCAGCCTTCGCGCGGCGAGACTGTCATGCTGATGCCTCCTACCCCACCCCAAGTCTACGCAGGTACTGCCGCCATGGAGCCACCAGCCCAGCGCCGCAATGCCCGCACATGCAGTTCGTTTCACCCTCAGCTACTGCCTGGCCCGCTTCGAGAATGCCACTGCCAATTCATCGAGCATAGGCACCAGGACCTTGTCATCTACGTGCCCGTCCTGCACGGGCGCGACCTTCCTGAACCACCTGGCCACGCCCCACGCGTGCTTCGAGCGAATCTTCACGAAGATCTTCGCATTCTAGAGCACGACGTGTATTACCTGCGCGCTGAGCTGCGCGCGCACCGAGCTGACCACCACGCTCACCCACACGGCACTAACGCCGACACCGACGACTTCGTCCAGCACTTGCCCACCCCGCTACGGCCAGGTAATCGGGGGGGGGTCGGGCTCCCGACTGCTGAGGGAGACGGTGCTGAGAGCGGTCGGGCGGGTCCCACGCCTGCCGTCGTCGCGCCGTGCGCGACAAGCAGCCGGACCCCGACCCCCCCCCGGGAGCGCTTCCGCGGCCTCGCCAGCACCGCCCTCACCTTCACCGGCATTATCCCGCTGAACTTCGGGTGCGTCCTCGGCCCCACTTTCGGCATCGTTCTCGGCATCGTCGACGCGGTCCTGCGCACCATC